AAAAAAAAAAAAAAAACACTCCTAAGAGATAATGTATAATGAGCTTTCAATTCTGAAATATGGCTACTGAAAAGGAAGAAAGAAATTTAATTGCCACTGAATTTTTAGATATCAAAAATTTTTATATTTCAAAATCAGTGTAACATTTGCTAAAAATCAGAATTTTAGTATTTAGAGAATGAACTCCCTCATTTCTCATTTCCCAAGTTAGTTTGGCTTGGTGTACAATGATAGCCCTTAATGAATGTTTGTGAAGCACATATCTTACCAAAAAAAATATCTTAAAAAAATAACAGCCAGTGCCTCCCTATTCAAATTAATTGTATTTAAATAATGAAACCAATGCAACATCTATCTTTGATGCCTGGTAGTTATGAAAAGGAAAAACGAGTGGCTGTAGTTTACCCTGATTCGAGTGCTCCCTCCTGCTCCCAGTAATCTCTGGAGCAGCGATCATCTAATCTCTGGTTCCAGTGCAAACATATTGAGGCCGTCTAAAGTGGTTTCTCTCAAGTTTCTTCAAAAACTCCAAAATTTCCTAGCGAACACCTTTCTTTCCTCCCTCTTCCTTTCACCATCCCCCTTCCTCTTCAAAAGTCACCTCTAGATTTAGGGTCTTGATTCTTCCTCTTCGACATTCTTTTGCTTCTTCTTTCCTCTTCATTTAGCCATAGTGTGTAACATCTACAATTCCTATGTCTTTCTCTCTTTGCTGCCCCTGGCTATAACATGCTCAGAAATCAAAGCAAAATAATGCTCTTCCTTGATCTTGTTATGTCTTGAACTAATCAATGGCTCCCAGATCTCTCTACGGGAAAGTCTACACTCTAGTTGGTACTGGGCACATGGATCTGAGGACCAGCAGCATTGGCATCACCTGACAGGTTGTTAGAAAAGAAGAATCTCAGACCTGCTGCTCAGAAAGTGCATTTTTAACAAGGTCCCAGGTGATTCATTAACATTTGAGAAACTGGTCTCTTTTGAGTCTGCTTCCCCATTCCTTTACTTTAACTTATTAACCTCTGGAATCTAGCGAGGGTCAAGTTCCTCACTATTACATCTCCATAACTGAAAATGCATTAAAAGTCATGAGCTTTCTGATGGACTTTTCATCAGAAAGCATATTTTTAGCATCCTTGCTCTCCTCTTCCTTCCAGCTCCCTCACTTTGACCCATATGATGCGCTCCTATGAAGCTGCAACATTTTATGTGACATTCAAGTACATACACTTAGAGCTGACCACAAATGTCTATGTTCCTCCATGGCAGGTAAACACAGCTCTCTCTGCATGATCAGAAGCCTCAGTCCCTGATGCCTTCTCAACAGTCAGGAAAACAGGAAGAGTGGGAAATTCTGGCTATCCTTCTCTGACAATCTTTGCTACTGGAAGCTCACTTTCTAGGATTCCCATATTTCAAATGCTCTGCTCTTCCCTTATTTTACCACCATCCCCTATATACACCTACTTTTTCTCCTGTATTTTACTGCCTGTATTCCTTTTACTCTCTGCCTTTCTCATTCTTCATTACCTCTTTTTCTCTTGTTTATTTCCTGACTTTTCTTAGGTGTTAAGAGTATCTTGAAATGGAACCAATAATTGAATGCCTTTAGTGTTAACAACTCTGTTGCTGACACTGGATAAAATATATAACTTATCTCCTTTTCATATCTTTTTTCCCTATATGTATTTAATACGTGATTTCCTTTGGATATTACAGTATTTCAGTATACATGTTTAAATCAACATTCTGTCAAATGAGCATTTTATAAAATACAGTTCTTACCTTCTACTTGTTTACTTAATATATTTTTACCTCTTTGAGCTGCAGCTCCAGAAAAATTATCAGTATGCTGCTGTGGAAGACTCTCAGAGAAACTCTCTTAAAATTAACATCAACATTGAGTTGCAAAAAGATTTCTTAATCATTTTCTAAGAGCGCATCTGAATTTCCTACTTTAAAAAGAATTAGATTTAAAAACAGGAGAAGCATGTGGTAAAAATCAAAATATTTAAATAGGGAACCTCATTTATTCTCTCTAGATTAAGTCTACCTTTTACCTTCAGTTGTTTACTGTCTCTGTAAAACTATGCATGGAAGGCCAGAGTGAGTATTTTCACAGACAAAAGGCTTGACTAACATGCACATTTCAATAAGGAACTAACAAAACAAAAACATCTAACTTTACTTGTCATTCCCACCAAAATAAGAGGACAATTAATAAGATACTAATTTAAACAAACTCCTTAACAGGTATACTTACTATAAATTTAAAATTATTTCTAAAGAAGGAAATTTTTTTAGTGTTAAAATAAGATACTTGGCATGATAAGAAACCCTACAGCACATTGTATTAAACATAAACAGGTAATTGTAGTAGCTGCTTCATTTCAGTAAGCAGGAGTTTGGAAGGATACAACT